TTAGTTTTGATGCAAAAACGCATGATCGCACCGGCTCGCCTGGTGCGTTCCAGCCTTTGTTTTGAATCACAATCGGCGTCAAATTTATTTTCCGTAAGATGCGCAAGAACAACAAATGACCACTGTTTCATGACAGTCGATACATCTTCACAGTAGTTTAGCCACCAGAGCCCTTTCCTGTGTTGAGGGTGCACAAAATTCGTTAAAATGTAATCACAAAAGTTAAAATTTGGATGAAGCAAAACATAAACGAGCTAGAGAAAAGCAAGACGTTACTCGAGTTTGGAGTAACTTACTTCTTCTTTAGTTTACTTCTCAAGAAAAAAAAAGTAAACGTTGTTAGCTTCACCAGCAAGTACATATCTTTAGGAAAAAATTACAAAACAAATAAAAAAATTGAAAAAGTATGAGGAACAATTTCAGATTTATACACTTCTTGATTCTTTTTCCCTTTTAATGGTTTTTCTCGCTGCTTTTTTATCGAACAATTTGAAAAAAGAACTGCAGTTACTACTGTCCTGTTTGGACGTTCAGCCAGTTTTATTAAAGTGTCCTCTTAGGCGCAGCAGTGTTATTCATGGAGGCAGCCGTTTTTTGGGTAAAGTAACAGTAAGTATTCCGTCCGGGCTGACGCTCGTTTCATTACGATCCGTCACCACATCGTTCGGTATGATATAGCGTCGTTCAAACTGCTTCTGAAAAAATGCTGATTTTCAACATTCCATAAAAAAACCGTAGGTTAAATCCTGGATCTCCTGCTAGAAAGCAGCCTTTTCAGTTGCTTTGTTCAGTGCTGCATCGCCTGTTATTCAGCCTCTTTACGACTCTAGCGTCTGTTCGTATTCTGTAGGGATTTATCAGCTCAGTAGTGCTCTTTGCAAAAACGTACAGCAAAGTTTCTGATATTTCGAGGTGTCCTTTGAGCGACGCCTCTTATTTTGAACAAGACCAATCCAAGACTATGATGAAGCAGGCACATTACCAATGAGGAGCTTTTGTAAAAGCGATGTTGTGTTTATCGCCTTATCTCCTTGATGAGATAAAATTCCGCTTTCCCATCTCCAGTTTTCTGTCAAAGGCTTTCCCACAGTAGATATCATCTACGACGGTGAAATTTAATTTCCTTTCTTATCAAGACAATTTCGAAACACACATTGAAGCGCTTTTGGGGATAATGGTTTGAAATATCTTTTGCAGGGCTATCACATAGAGATTGGGAGTGATCCGATGATTTAAGGCCAGTGTATTGCACAGTCACGCCTGCATCAAGTCTTGCCAAGCTGAGCGTTTTTCTATTTCCTGTGATCTCAAGTATTTCCCGTGATTCGCCCTTGCAGTTACTCATAGTTGCGTGACTTAATAAGCTGCCTGTTTTAATATTAGATCTCTTCACCATTCAAATAAAGTCGATTCAGCGACCCACAGTATCAAAATCCCGTCTTTCAAACTCTTTAAATAAATCGGATTTTAAAATAGCAATTGATATATAAAACAACAATTTTTTAGTTCCTTCTAATGGCATTTACTTGATTAAGCAACGAACCGTAACTCTACCATCCTTTGGATCGCCAATATGTACTGCACCAATCTTAAGTTCTTTGCCTTCTATACTAACCTGAAAATACGTGAAATTTTAAAAGATGGACGATAATTTAATAAGAGTAATCAAAGAGTAAGTTGAGTCATAGTAGCTGCACGTATCAATTTAAATGCTTATTATTTGCTGAGCACTTTTTTCTTGAAACGATATAATTTAAATAAAAATTAAGGATGAATCCACATTTATATTTTTGCATGTGTTTTTTCAACTTTTTTTCATCTTACCGTTTTTGACTCTGTAACTCATGAAAACTTTTACAAAGAAATTCAGAAGAACCAACTGTGATTTCATCGGGCGCAAAATTTCGTGCGTCAATTGATACTGAGAATTTCTCCGCATCATCAATTACCTAAAAAATAGAGTTAAAAGTTGTAAAAAGTCACGTATGTTTTGGATTAGCTGAAAAAACCTGAAGAAAAACAAAAGCTTCATCTACTTGCCAGTGGCTGGTCACACGCAACAAAAAAGGTGGCCACTGGCATGGTCTTCAAAGAGGTGCCATTTGCTCATCATAGATGACGGATACAAATAATTGTCCAAAGCACGAGCTGCCCGTGCGAAGATGCGTTTTTTGCATAGCTTCCCGCAGATTTTTGTCGATAAAGGTACTGCTTTTCCCGGCAGATGCTCCTAGCTAAAAGACTTTCCGACTAGCCGCCAGGACTGTCAGGAACATCCCTTCAAAATTCCAGTTTTCTAACTTCTCAGGTCCCCGAGTTAGCAACTTACCTCAAAAAAACCTTTCACGGGCCCGTACGTAGGTATCACGTTTACTTGTGGGCTGGGCTTGAGCTCATTAATGTCCATTTGGACAGGGAACATCCCCTTGAGATTTCAGCCTTCTAGCTTCTCAAATGCCCGGATTATCAGCTTATCCGAAAAAAATTCTGGCGGACCCGTACGCGGGTATTATGCTTACCCGGAGGCTAGGTTTGAGCTCATCAATACCTACTTAGGCGGGGAATATAAGCCTAAGACTTCAGCTTTCTAGCTTCTCAGATCTTCGGGTTATGAACTTACCCGTAAAAAACTTTAGCGGGCTCGTACGTGGGTACCACGCGGGTAAGGACGCCCATTTTGGGGATGGGGGCCCGTACTTGTATGTAGGTTAAGCTCCTAAAGTTTCAGTCCTGTAGCTCTCGCAGGTCTCGAGATAAAAAATCGGTACAGGCGCGCAGCGCACACACAGACACACACACACAGACAATCTCTCGTCAATATGCGTTTTCCGCATTGCATAGCTGCAAAAAACGCATAAA